GATTTCTTCTCGCATCAAAAGCACCTTTCCTTCCTCCCCCTCTATTAAATTTACCCCCTCCAAACCCTCTCCCATAGTTTACATCCATGTTCTTGGACTCAGGTGGCGGTGGAAGGAAGAACCCTAACCTTTGGGTCTCACTATAGTGTCCTCTCACCACATCCAGTCCTTTTATAATACCCCAGCTACCACATGAAGTTTGGACCGGGTATGCAACTGGACTTCTAGTGACTCATGGGCCTAGATCTGTGCCACCTGAATATCTTCACCTACTGGGCCCCCAAACAAGATTGGAGATCCCCTACTTTTCACCTTTTTTATCCTCTCCGCCTCCACTCCTTTCTGAACCAAATTGGTTCTAATTGGAGTTTTATTAAGTATAATCTCTTCAAAATCAACACAATCTTCCTCATACCAGATAGCAATGGGTTGGAAATAACACACCTCATCTTCTCATGTACATATTTTGCTTTAGAAACTCTCATATTATTATTATTATTAATTGTGGAATCCTCTCTAGCCCAGTCCTTTTTGCGACCCTTGTCCCCATTCCCATCCCTATCATCAACATTTTGAGTGGGGGAATTCCTACCTATGATCCTATGTTTATCTCTGTGTTTGCTCTTTTTACAACAATCAGAAGTATCATCATGTACATCAATCGGTGTACTAGATGTCAAATACCTAGCAGCACATTTATGCGTACCTGAAGAAGTTTGAGAAGTCTTCATCTCTCCCTCCTCCTCAGAGCTATCCCCAGCCAGCAACCAGAAGCAATTGCCGGCCGGCGAGCATCCTACAGGGAGCGGGAGAGGGCTCAGAGGCATGTCGAGTGCCTCGAGAAGTGAGGAGAGCGGCGAGGCAGCGCAGTCACCTCCCTTGTCCGCCTCCTCCTTGGCATCTTGATAACCCACAAGTATAGGAGATCGCAACAGTTTTCGAGGGTTGAGTATTCAACCCAAATTTATGATTCGACACAAGGGGAGCCAAAGAATATTTGCAAGTATTAACCTTACCAGGGCTTGACATGTCGTGAATCCTCTTGAAAGAGAGGGGTGCCCTCGGGAACGCGGACACAGGTGGTGCATGGCTGTCGTCAGCTCGTGTCGTAAGGTGTTGGGTTAAGTCTCGCAATAAAACTGAGAAAATTAACTCGGAAAGAAATTTTTTGGATGCCATATTCCATCTATCTTTCCCTGAAAAAGCGTATACTTTTGTTCTATAAGCAAATAAAGCATACTTCTTTTGCGGATCAAGCAGTCTTCTATATGTAGCATACTTTTCCGTTCGAGACCCGTATCTAGACCCTTGTGATCGATAGCCGGACCCATGCTGACGGCACCGAAATCCTGCCCCTCCTGCGGAACTAGTACCACCAATAGATAGGCCCGTCTCTTCTTGGGCAACCCTGAAAGTATCTTCTTGTACGGACTGAAACAAGACAAACTACTCGCGGGACCCACTTAAGATAGTAGCAGGTTACCAAACTGAATATTCCGGTATCAAATATGGTTTATTTTATCCTGCCAGTTTCAGTATTCCATGCTTGATAGGAAGTCAAACTTTCCATTTGTAGCAAAGTGATCAGTAGCATAGTAATATGATGGTTTTGATAGCAGTGATAACAGTAACAGTGGTAACGGTAACAACAGTAACAGTTTTGTGGCAGTTGGAATAGTAGCAATAGCTATGGTAACTTAGCAAGAACAATATGCGGAAAACTCGTAGGCATTGGACCAGTGAATTCATTGGATGATATTCATCGTATAACAGTCATAACCCGGGGCGGCACAGAACTAGCTCCAGTTCATAAATACAATGTAGGCATGTATTCCATAAATAGTCATACGTGCTTATGAAAAAGAACTTGCATGGCATCTTTTGTCCTACCCTCTCGTGGAAGCGGGCTCCATAAGGAAACTAAGGGATATTAAGGACTCCTTTTAATAGAGAACCGGAACAAAGCATTAACACACATAGTGAATACATGAACTCCTCAAACTATGGTCATCACCGGTAAGTATCCCAATTACTGTCACCCTGGGGTTTACGGATCATAACACGTAGTAGGTGCATATGACTAGCAAGATCGGATCTGATGAAAACATAAACGGTTCAGATCTGAAATCATGGCACTCGGGCCCTAGTGACAAGCATTAAGCATAGCAAAGTCATAGCAACATCAATCTCAGAACATAGTGGGTACTAGGGATCAAGCCCTAACAAAACTAACTCGATTACATGATGAATCTCATCCAACCCCACACCGACCAGCGAGCCTGCGAATGAATTACTCACTCCCGGTGGGGAGCATCATGGAATTGGTGATGAAGGAAAGTTGGCGATGACGAAGAGCAAAGATTCCCCTCTCCGGAGCCCTGAACGGGCTCCAGAGGTGGCAGCGACTCCATATCATGAAACGTGATGAAACTTCCTCTCCTATTTTTTCTCCAAAAACAGGAATTCATAGAGTTGGAATTAGGGTCAGCGGAGCCCCGAGGGCCCCACCACCCACCAGGGCGCACTAGGGGGGTGGCACGCCCTAGTGTCTTGTGGGCAGCCAGGGCAGCCCCTCTGGTGGCTCTTGGTTCCAATATTTTTTTATTTATTTTGAAATAATTCTCCAAAAAGTTTCATCCAATTACGAGATTTTTTTTATTTCTGCACAAAAACAACACCATGGTAGTTCTGCTGAAAACATCGTCAGTCCAGATTAATTTCATCCAAATCATGCAAATTAGAGTTCAAAACAAGAGCAAAAGCGTTAGAAAAAATAGATAAGATGGAGACGTATCACATCTCTGCAGCCTCGTCGTCGTCTTCGATCTTGATCGGCGCCGCTCACGACCCGGGCGGAGGGAGCCCCACCACCACCGCCCTTGGCGGAGCTGACAGGCGGATATGCCTGTAGCGGAGGGATTTGAAGACCCTCCACTTGTGCCTCTGCTTTGGGATCGGCGAATCCGCTTCGAGCATCGCCCAGAGCAGCACCCCCATTGCTGGCTGCCGGCCGAAATTGGGTAAGCAGCGCGCCATCTCCTCCTCGTCCAGCTTCCCTCGGACCACGGCCGCCGCATCATTGAGCGCTTTCGCCGTGGGATACCACCTGTCGGTCTCTTGTAGCCTCCCCAACATCATCTCGTCGTTTCCGGCGAGCGCCGTCATCTGTTGCTCATGCATCGTCATCAAACCCTAGGTCTTGATGCATCGTGGGAGAGCAGGTCGAGGTGGAGCTGGGACACGAGGGAGAAATGCGAGGGGTCGAGATGAGAGGCGGCTTAAGTATCTTCTTCACCCCCGTGTCGCCATTACTCACCTCGGGTTTCGCGACGTGCCCACCCGCCCACGGAGGCGACACCACTCTGGCTAGGTGGCACGGGAACTGAACCACCTGCCCAGCCCTGAACCCCTCATCATCGCGCCAACCTCGTGTATCCACCGCCCGATCGTCGGTGTTGTACAAAATCACGCGTCCTCCTCGCCAGAGAAGGGAGCCCGGCCGGAATTCTAGGAGGGAGGCGTCTAGATCCGACACGAAGTCGCACCACAGCCGTGCGTCGTACGTCATCCTCCTCCCCTCCTCCTGCTCGACTAGTGAACCTATAAACCCCATGCCTCCTTTCTAGCTATGCTCGCGTAAGTAAGCCGTTGCGCCTAGCCCCCGTTCCGGCGGTGCATCTAGCATCGTTGGTGGGCGTGTGGAGGTGTGTCTCCGGTGGATCTATCTTTGATGGATTTGCTCGGATCTCGTCGTTGTTCGTCTACGTTCGTGTATCTTCGGATTGAATCCTTCCAACCTACGTTTTTTTTCGAGAGTACGGCAAAGGCGTACCATAGCTTTATAGAAGGGAGAAAAATATGTACAAGAGTTATTACATTGAGCTAGTTGATGGTCACAAGCCGACCCCAACCAAACCTCCACTCCACTCCTAAATACTACTCTACTACTCGGGTATCGGTCTTCCTCCAGATGCTCCTGCCGTAGCCCAAGTCCTCAAGTCGTTGAAGATCAAGTCCACAGTCTCCCATTCATTTTTGATTTGGTTCGATCCGAACACTCTTGCGTTCCTCTGTTTCCAGAGTGTCCAGCAAATGAGCATCACGAATGTGTCAAATCCTTTCCGAGTTTGCTTTTGTATGCGCTTTCTAGCTTCCGTCCACCATTGCACCAAATGGGATTCATATGTTGGGCAAAGCTCCACTCTCAATCCCATCCTGGACATGCACATGTACCACACTTGCCTCGAGAACCTACGTTATTCTTCATCAGCGACGGTTGCTGTTCTGGCGCGCTGGTCCTATGGGGCCTTAGCACGACGACTTCCCGACTGTCTACTACAACAAGTTGTGCCCGACTCCGGTGATGGAAGGGTGATGACGGCGGCGCGCCTTCGGCTCGCTTCAGTGCTTGTAGTCGTCGCTAGGTGATCTACGGATCTGGATGTAATTTTTATTTCTGGTGTTCGTTGTACTGCCATGATTGGAGATGAATAGATTGGAAGTTTTTTCGAAAAAAAAAGTGTACGTGATTGCACAAATTGCCATTGCACGCCAAGTCTTGAATTGTGTTCCTCTTCAATTCCGGGGCATGGGTCTCGCGGCGTTGCAACATATCGTGGGCTCATAATCTTTTTTTTTCGTTTCTTTCTATTGATGACATGTCGTATGGTTGCATGGTCACCACACGTTGAGGTTGTGCTCTAACGCTAGCTCCATAGAACCTGCGCCGGAGTTCGAAACAGAGCCATATCCGTTCCAAAGTTCAAGGGGGCCGCCGGAGTTCACGGCACACGTGCACTCTCCGGCCGCAGGTGAACAAAGCCATCTGTCACTGCTGTCACGAACAAGCCGATCTGCTTCCAAGAAGAAACGAAAACAGAGGTAACAGCAACACACATTCTCACTCTACACTTATTCTCTATCTCATACGTAAGCACTGCCATTGGTCTGATCACCGCGCTGCCGGAGCCAGACCAGGCAAATGAGTGAGCCATATGTAGCTAGCTGAGGAACGCGGCGACGGTGGCCATATGCGCGGCGGCCTTGGGCGACTGGAGGTTGTTGAGGAAGTAGCAGTGCCCCTCGCCGGGCGTCTCGTACAGCCGCGCCTGCCCGCCCCAGCCGCTGCCCCGGAGCGCGTCCACGTACGCGCGCTGCCACGGCCCCAGACCGTCCTGCCCCGACTTGGTCACCAGCACGCGCCGGGCGCCGAGCCGCCGCCACGCGTCCGCCGGCAGCGCCATCGGGTCCACGTACGGGTGCTCCGTCCCGTACCGCCCCGCGCAGATGAACCCCCACGATCGCTCCGCCCACGGGCCCGCGTGCCCGCCCAGGAAGTACGGGTCCAGCAGCGCCACGCCCTTGATCCGCCCTTTGCCGTCGTCCTGGCCCAGGCCCTGCTGCCCCACGCGCATTGCGAGGTTGTGCGCGATGTTGCCGCCGGCGCTGTCCCCGCCAACGAACAGCCGGGACATGTCCCCGTGCTTGTAGAGCCAGGACGCGCCGTAGCCGGAGCCGTTGCGAGCGTTGGAGAGCACCCATTGGAGCGCCGTCCACGAGTCGTCGTAGGCGGCCGGGAGCGTGTGCTCCGGCGCGAGGCGGTAGTTCACCGACACGGCGATGACGCCCGCCCTGGCCGCCAGCACGTTGAGGTAGTTGTGGTAGACGGGGCCGAAGGCCGACTCGACGACGAACGCGCCGCCGTGGAAGTAGAGGAGCACGGGGAGCCTGCCGCGGCGGCTCGGGCGGTAGAGCCTGACGGCGAGGCCCGTGCCCTGGTCGACGACGACGTCGGTGGAGGCGACGCCGGTGCGCGCGTCCACGGACGGCGGCACCACGCTGGTGCCCATCAGCCGCTGCACCCGCCCGCTCTGGTACTGGATGAGGAAGGGCGTGAAGTCGAACTTGACCGCGTCGCCGTTGGCGCGGCCGCGCAATGCCGAGACCCCCTCCCCGAGAGCCGAGCAGAGCGCGAGGAGGAGGGAGACGAACAGAGCTCGCGTGGCCATGATGACTGGCTGGCTAGAGCACGGAGCGCGGAGGGAGGGGACAGTGCGCGCGGCCGCGAGTGACCCGCACTGTGCCGCGGTACTCCCGGTGCGGTGTGAGTGCAGTGGCCCGGGGTGCGCACGCACGCACGCTCATATATATACATGCAAGAGCCGGTCGACGCGGCGGGCACGGTGGGCAGCCCGCACCGGGCCGGACGGACGGACGGGCGGTCGATGGTGCGCGAGCTCCTTGTGCGGGAAGCGACGGATGGCGTGCGCGATGTACGTGTCTCGGGTCAATGCGGAGCATGCGCTGGGTGGCGTTCCTTCCCGTAGTGGGGCGGCACGGCACACTCGCGCGCGAGCCATTACTAGTGGTGGCCCGTAACCATCCGGCCGGCGCCTAGTGCTTAAGTGCGCGGACCTATCTATCCTCTCCTCCCCGTCGATCGTCACTCACGCGCGTGGTTAATCAAGGCGGGCGCGAGTTATGTTACTATAGACCGACAAACGGCCGTTGGTAGCTAGGAGAGGGTTTTGGAGTGCGTTCAATCAATCCAACCAACGCCTATGTTGTTCATCAAACGTAGGTTTCGTCACGGGCCTAGCCCATTAATAAAGACAACTGCTGGTACAGTAGGAGAGTTTTGGAGGGCGTAGTACTCCGTACGTGTGGACGGACGCTGGGCGCTCCAGTTGGCTTGTGCGGACGGAGATCGGCCGGTGTAGACCCAGCGTGTCACCTTGGTGCCTTGTGAGTTGTGGGTTGTGACCCTGGGCGAAGCTACTTTCCACGACCACTTTGCATTGCGTCCTCTCGTCGTGCGAGCGCCTGCAGATGGCGGGGCGTGTTTACTGCGCCATGGCTGGCGACCTGGCGTTTTACTTCCTAATTGCACGAGGCTACCTGGACGGGTTGTCCCCTCTACATTAGTGCACCATGCATTTACTAACGAAACTCCGAAAAGCCGTCGGCGGGTAGCACGAACGCTGGCCCGTCCGTTACCGGGTTCGGCCAGGACAGACGCCATGTGTGCACTGGCGTGCGTGCGTGAGCTCGCTCTCTCCTTCTGTGCTGCAATGGTCTCTGGCCGTTGGAAGCTTGGAATGGTAAATGCAGGGCAGAGCAGAGGAGGCAAGTGTGAAGCCACTCTGGGTCTCTGGCACGAGCATGTGGGGATGAATTGTATCGGTCTCGGGCGGTTCGGCGCAGCATGGCGACGAGCTCAACGGCCACGCCACGCCATGGCCGTACGCCGGTATCATTCGTTTCGGGTCCGGATTGATGGGAGGGGTTTTCCGTTCTCGTGATCAAGGGATGGGATTGGATTTGCTTGTGAGCGACCGCAACGTGCCCGGAGTGTGTGTGTTCCAGGCTCTCGGTGTCACGAGCATGGATTGAACCGTGGAATCGTGCTATCGTAGTACTCCCTCCGTCCGGAAATACTTGTCATCAAACTAGATAAAAGGGGATGTATCTAGATGTATTTTAGTTCTAGATACATCTCTTTTTATCCATTTTGATGACAAGTATTTTCGGACGGAGAGAGTACACAAGATGTTCACTTTTGGGAACCGAGAGAATGCAGCACGTAATAAACTGGGTGTGCTGGGAAGGGACGAGGGATGGACACCATATTTTGCCGAATTCGTCTGGTCCCGTCTCAAGGCCTGCCATCACAATCGTCAAATTCAAAATTATTTACACATGTAATTGTTCCAATCCCCTAAAAAAAATTTGTTCCAACAAAAAATTATACAAGTAACCTTTTTTCTTATAAAATATAAATAAAGTACTACAAACAGCAAATTAGCGTAGCTCCGCCTATTAATCGGTTTGGTGTAAAAAATACAAAAAAAAACTCCATATTCCTGATTATAAGTATTTTTAGAATCATTTTAGGAGAAATCATTTTAATTATCGTATATTTCATTACAACTCCTATTTTAAGTGTTTCGGGCTTTTGATCTAGGCCATGGGGTTGGGCTGTATAAACCTAGCTTACGTCGTTCCGCTGGAGGGAAAAAACAAATAGGGCTATTTGTTTTCTTTTTGTTGCTTCTTTTCCTTATTATACAATATATTTTTGTCGCCCCACATTTTTTGTGTTTCGTTCAACGATTTTATTGGTTTTGTTCTAAGTGCCTAACAATTTGTTTCATATACATAAAATTACTTGCTGACACAATTCAATGCCATAAATAATGTTTTCAAATATCTAAAAATACATCCTTTTCAAATATAGGAGCATTTTTTTGTACATGTGCATTTTATTTGCAGTACACAATTTTATATTTACAACTGATATACAAGATTATTTTAAAATAATACAAATCTTAAGATTATTACAAAGGAAAAAAGGAGGAACATGTAGTCTCTCCACCCTTGAAAGAGTGTACTTTCAACTTTGTTGGAAAGTCAAACTTTTTATATTTGACCATATTTATATAATAATAGACCAACATTTATGCCATCAAATTAGTAGCATTAGAATCATGATAAAGTATATTTTCGTCATGTACCTATTTGGTTTCACAAGCATTGACATATTTTGCACAAACTCGTTCTCTTTCAAGGACGGATGGAGTATATGTTAGTAGGTTGTGCTAGGGGGCGACCCATTATTTTTTCCTTTAAGCGTTTCCCCGGTAGTTGTCGCTTAAGAATGCATATAGGGAGTTCGGCTAAACTTCGCTCGCAGCGAGAGCAAGCATGCATTCGCCTCAAGGGACTAGTTACTGGGCCGACCCAACGTTGGGAGGCACACTGCTTTTCTTTTCCTTTTCCTTTTTATTTTATTATTAACATTTCTGGAATGAGAAAAAAATATTTAATATTTTAAAAACGTTCATCACACATTCATAAAACACTTCGTACAGTCTTAAAAGAATGTTCGCACAACTTCAAAAATAAATGTTGATAGCATTTAGAAAAAGTTCTTGACATCCAAAAGGAATGTTCACATACTTAGAAAAAAATCGTGACACTTGCCAGGTGGCCAAGACGTGGGCACCAACATTATGCTTCTTGGCATTTTAATTCTGAAAAATTCAAACGAAGCCCGAAAATCATAAAACTTAGCATGTTATCATGATATGAATCCTAGAGGATGTAATAAAAAATTGTTAGTGTTTCACAAAAGTTGTCACATAGACTACTGGAATAAAACCATCTCCGAGTAAGAAATTAGGTTCCGAGAAGGCGAAAGTACCTTTCTACACCTGAGCTCATATGCTCCAGCTATGAATTGTAAAATAAATAAAATAGAAAAACATTTCAAAAAAATCTGAATTTTTTTGTGGCATACTTTAAGAAATGTTTTTTGTGCATGCAAAATTTCATCACGAAATCACATTTGGTGGAGGTCGTGGCAAAAAGAATAAAATCATAGCTCCAAAATGCGTTTGAAAGTAACAATTTCAGAGTATCAATTTTGTTCTTTTTACCATGCCTGCCACCAATGTCATTTCATGACGAAATTTTGCAAGCACAACAAACATTTCTTAAACTATGCCACAAAAAAATTTCAGAATTTTTTGAAATGTTTTTCTATTTTATTTATTTTACTGATCATAGCAGGAACATATGAGCTCAGGTGTAGAAACTCCACGTCCCCGAGAAGGAATATACCATGCTTGCATGCAAAGAAAGTATTGTTTCCTCGGTTCACCTTGAAACTAGGCTTCAAGTGGGAATAACCCAAGTTTGGATGTGAAGCGGTCGCTGCTTTGCTGATTGGTTTTAAACTTTTTTGCACAATCATCACACACAAAATTTAGCATTTTTGGGGGTCCGTTTGCTATACTAAAATCATAAAATGCATTTGTAGGTCTTCAAAGATATAACTCAACTATGAACTAAAGTACATGAAATAATCGCTATAAATGGGGCTGAAAAATCTTATTGGTGGTCTTTGGTTTATGGTTAATCCTTATACAAGGAAAGAAAGATAGTCTCAGACACGTGGTGGCCTCGGGCACCAACATGATACTTATTGTCATTTTAATTATGGAAATTTTAAATGAAGGCCAAAAATCATGAAACCTAGCATGGTGTCATGATATGAACCCTAGCGGTTGTAATACAATTTGCAAAAAAAATCATGTAGACTGCTTACAAACAAAATCATCTCCGAGTAAGAAATTTGGTTTCGAGAACGAACTGACTAGGTTTGCATGCGGAAGCGAGCGTTATTTGCTCGGTTGGCCTTGAAACTTTTTCCACATTCAACACATACATTACATGTGACATGTCAAAATTTAGTATTTGTTTGGTATATTGTCTATGTTTAAGCTGTTAAGTGCATTTACCTCCGTTAAGTGCAAATTAACACTAAAGGTGCCAAACTATTACATGGAACTTCCAAAGATGCTCCTATAATGTATGAAAAAAATTGGTACCATAACCCTAAACATAAAATACGAAACCCCTAACATTAACAAAAATGACAAAATAAATACTAGCGGTGGACACGAAAAAACGCCTGACATTAGTTTTTGCCACCCATGATAAGTTATCCCCAACTTATTACTAGGGGACACACACATATTCTTCCCGCCAGAGTATGCCCACCACTAATAATTTTGACCCACAACTAGTCTGGGCTGATGCAAAATATCAGCGGCGGAGATGACTTTTGCGCTGAACCCTGGTAAGCAGCCAAATTACCAGTGGCAGACGCAAATGTGTACCCGCCATTGGTAAGGGTCCACCTATAAGCAGATCCGAGCAGTGTATGCCTTCGCCAACACGAGCAGGTTTTTGATCTTTGCTGGCTCGACGAAACACTCATGTTTCTGACGCCACAACTACCACCACACCTTTGGTTTCCTTCATCTTCTCCGTCTGATGGCCTCGTCGGCGGAAAGAGGAGTGGGGACCCATCCGTCTAATTTTTCCGGTTAGGCTTTTTACTTCCCAGGCGACACCGATGAGGTCGTGGCGACGATGTCGTGTAAGGTCTCTCCGGCCTTTCCCTACCACGACGACGTCAGATCTTGCGATGACAAAGAGCCTA